AGGGTTTCCAGGACCAGCGCTGGGCGGGAGACTAAATCTCAAAGGAAAAGTAAAAAGTGAAACTTCTTTGCCTCTAGTAACCCCAACAGTTGAACCACAAACAGCGCCCAGCTGAGCCTCCCGGAGAGGCAGGGAGCCCACGCAGGTGGGAGGAAGAGGGCAGGACCCACCCGCCAACAGTGACCCCAGATGCCAGAGGTGGTTCTCAACCTGACTGCAAGTTCCAATCACCAGAAACCAGTTGGTTTTTTACCTTTTTTATTGTAGATAACATAAAATTTATCATCTTAACCATTTCTAGATGTACAACTCAGTGACGTTAAGTACACTCACACTGTTGTGCAGCCATCACCACCATCCCTCTCCAGAACTCTTCATCTTCCCAAACAGAGGCTCTGTACCAGTTAAACAGAAACTCCCCCAGTCCCCTCTCCCCCCAAACTCCTGGCAACCACCTTTCTATTCCGTGTCTGTGAATTCAATCACTCTAGATATCCCATATAAGTGCTATCTATTCATACACTATTTGTCCTTTTGTGCCTGCAGGGGAGATTTTAAAAACCTAAATCCCAGACCAATTAAATCAGAACTTCCAGGGGAGGATCTAAACATTTAAACATCTCCCTGATGGGCACCTGGGTGGCTCAGTGATTGAGTGTCTGCGTTTGGCTCAGGTCATGATCCCGGGGTCCTGGGGTCAAGTCCTGCATCGGGCTCCCCGCAGGGAGCCTGCTTCTCCCTCTGCCTGTGTCTCTGCCTCTCTCTGTGTGTCTCTCATGAATACATAAATAAAATCTCCAAAAAAAAAAAATTTCCCTGATGATTCTAATGGGCAGCCTTGGAAACCCCTGGGTTAGAAGGTCTGAATCAAATTTACTTTCAGGAACCCCTTCAAATAGCAGACACATCTCAACACCTGCTGTCTGATGCCTCAAATTCCTTTAGTCATGGGCAAAGCTAAAGATTTTCCTCCTTCCACTGGAGATGAGGGGCTTACAATGACTAAAACACATCTGCTAAAGATTAATCTATCAGTCAACAAGTGTGAGTGAGTATTATCAGACACCGTCTCCCTTTGAAAGCCAGAAAGACTCAGAGAGTAGCAGATGGTAAGTAACTGTCCAGTTGGGAGATGGGGAGAGACAGGCACACCCCGCCAGGGACTCGTGGTCACTTTGTGTGTGTGTTGGGCAGGGGGGTGATAAAAGCTAGCCTTGTTCACCTGTAATTGCCCTTAGGACCAACACATCTGTTTACTTGCCCAGTTTACTGGAACAGGGCCACTATGACATATGGTTCCGATTGACTGTATTTTTGCATGATTCTTGAGTCCTCCCCCCTCTGCCCCTTGCTACCCTTTTAATTTAACCACACTGATTTCATTACAAAGGAACTTCACTTACATGGGTTCTCATTGAGGCATGACCATTGCCTTGTTCCTGGAAGACCTCTTTCTGTTGCTTGTTTCTTCAGAACTAGAAATACATAGAAAATGATAAGGTAGATTAAAGAGACGGAGAGAGACAAGACTAAAGGAGAGAGATGCAAACATATATCAGATGACAGAATGACAGGGAAGATCCACACCAAAATCGTGATGTTGGTTTCCCATCATGAAGGGAGGGAGGGATGGGAATGAGACTGGAAAGATCTGAAGGTTTAGTTTTCTAAACCCTGGAAGCAAACATGACAAAAAGTTAACACTTTTTCATTCAGCATTGGCATTTGTTATATTACTTTTTGAACCTGTCTTTGTGCTTTTCAGTCCTTAAAAAAATATCCATATGCATATATTTCTATATAAATAATTGTATGCATAAATATATGTGTATAAAGAAATGTTTTAATGACTGAGGAGAGCTCTTACAAAATGTTTCAGGTTGACAATTTTGTCATAAAATTAAATTACTAAAGCCTCAGGGAACATTTGAAAAATACAAAAAAAAAAATACACAATTTAATAGTCCCCATAAAATTACCACGTAGAAATTACTGCATTTTGATGCCTTTATATTCAAGCTTTTCCTCCATGTATTAAATAATTGCATCATTGATTTCAAATTTTCAGACAAACCATGAGAGACTCTCAACTCTGGGAAACGAACAAAGGGTTGCAGAAGGGGAGGCGGGCTGGTGGATGGGGTAACTAGGTGACAGGCACTGAGGAGGACACTTGATGGGATGAGCACAGGGTGTTATACTATATGTTGGCAAAGTGAATTTCAATAAAAACAAAACAAAACAAAAAAAAAACAAATCAAATTTTCAGACAGTTCCTGATTACAAAAATACTTTTCATTGGGCACCCCCGGTGGCGCAGCGGTTTAGTGCTGCCTGCAGCCTGGGGTCTGATCCTGGAGACCCAGGATCGAGTCCCGCGTCAGGCTCCCTGCATGGAGCCCGCTTCTCCCTCTGCCTGTGTCTCTGTCTCTCAGTCTCTCTCTCTCTTTGAATAAATAAATTTAAAAAATACTTAAAAAATACTTTTCATTGTAATATGCAGAAAAAGATAAGCAGAGACAAATTACTTATGGCTTTATGACCTGAAGAGCCCCCAACAAGGTTCTCAATGGCAAAAACCAAAATGTGATACTAGTTAGGAAGAGAAAGACATAACTGGAAAGATTGCAAATAGGATACATTGTCTATAGAGAGTGGTATTTACTACAGTCTTCGCTTTCATTTATCTCCTCCTCTAGGTCTTTATGTGATAAAGTTATCCAAACATTCAGTCAGATATTGCATGGCTGGACCGTAATACCAATTTGATCTTGGTTTAAATGTTTTTTCTTTTATGGCTCAATCTGAAGGATTCACTCACTATTGCAATTGCCTTAATATTTTCTGAGGGCTTATTATTTAACATCCTCTACCATTTTTTCTTGTTTACTTGCATATTTATTTGTTTCTTATCTCTCTTCTTCATTGTGGTATCCTTAGGGCCAGAGGTTTCTGACATGAGTAGTATTATTGTTGAATGAAAAAATGAATCAGAGCCTTTAGTGGTCCTGCCTACATAGGATTGTGAAAGTGTCTTCCTTTAACTATCATTAGATACAAAGTCTAAGAAGACAACCTGGTGAGGCACCTGCTTTTCATCTACACCTCTTCCTCCCTACCTCCTCATATGGCTGCAATCCTATGTCCTTGTGTTATTCAGAACCACTTCCACAGTCAATACCATGTTCTTCTTTTTGCCTGTTTATCTTGTGCCTTGAGGAGCCTGAAATCTATATGTGATTGCCTCAGCTTCTGGTTCAATGAAATCATCAATGTGTCCTTTGGTGGGCATACTCTTCCCTTTGATACTAAAAATGTTGAATTCTCAGGGTCCAGTATTGTAAGATAGGAAAAAATATTTTGGTTAGCCATTTACTATTGCAGTAGCCTTAACACTTTTTAATTTATCATTTATCATTTTTAAAAAGATGTTATTTATTTATTTGAGAGTGAGTGAGTGGTGGAGGAGGGAGAGAGATAAATAGACTCCACTCTGAGCACAGAGCCCAATACAGGGCTGGGGCTCAATCTCACAACCCTGAGATCATGACCTGAGCCGAAACCAAGGGTTAGCAGCTTAACCTATGGAGCCACACAGGCCCCTCTCATTTATCATTCTTTACTACTTTTCCCATTTGGCACTGAGGAGTGTAAGAACTACATTATCCTCTGTGAAGGGAAGTCTGTGTGGTTAAGGCTACAGATAGGCTCCACCTTTCGTGGATTTGTTGGCAACTCACAACTTTCCACATATGGGATAGATAAAGTTTTATAGTTTATTTTTCTCTTGAAATTAATTTTTAATAGTAATTTTAATATATGATACATTATCAGTTGTAATGTTTAATTTCTTTCTTTTTTTTAAAAAAAAAGATTTTATTTATTTATTCATGAAAGAGAGAGAGAGAGAGGCAGAGACACAGGCAGAGGGAGAAGCAGGCTCCATGCAGGGAGCCCGACGTGGGACCCGATCCCGGGACCCTGGGATCACACCCTGGGCTGAAGGCAGCGCTAAACCACTGAGCCAGTCGGGCTGCCCATGTTTAATTTCTATTACTAAAAAAATTTAAAAATTTTTAAATATAATTAAAATCTTCACTGTTTTTTTAACAGGTCCTGCTTTGGTATTACTCATAGGACTACTTGAACAACTTCAGCATCATAGGAATTCAGCCAGGAATGTTAGAAACAACATAGTAAAATTACTAATAATCACTCACTCAATAAACCATTGAGTGTTTATTATGTATCAGACACTCTACATACCTTATTCCACTGAATACAACAAACCTATGAAGTAATTATTATTCCCATTCTACAGGTCAGGAAACTGAGGCTCAAGAAGACAAAGTAACTTGCCCATAGTCATATGACTTACAAGTGCTGGAGCTGGAATTCATTTAGTCACGTACAAACTCTGGACTTTGTTGGCAGATGAGTAGACCTGGGTCCCCATCCTGGCTCTGCTGTGCTAGCTGCTATATGTGATACCTGTACATGTGGTTTCACCCCCTCTGAGGTTTAATATCACCTATAAAACCTGTTAAACAATAACTCTCTCATAGAGTTGTTGAGGGATTTAAATGATGAAAAAAAAAAGAAGTGATGTGGCTCCAAGAGACAGCCAATATAAGAAAGTCAGCCACAGTCCTTAATTACCTCCTTCCCTCCCTTCTTCTGGAGGGGTGGGGCAGAGGGCAGCAAGGAGAAAGGGTAAACTAGTGCCTGCCTGAGGTGCGCAGGTTGGAATCCCAAGCTTAGCTGACCTAAGTAAGGAACACACCAAGGTGCAGTGCCACAGGCCGAAAGAGATCCCACCCAGGGAGTGGCTCAGATGCTTCCAGCACAGACGTATGTCCCTTCATGTGTAGGAGGTAGGGGTGGAGTTGGATCAGGGAACTCTCACCGCAGCTTAGAAGCAGCCACTCTTGCTGGTGAGGAGGGCCCGGGGAGGCTGCTGCTCGTCTACCTGCCAGCTCTAGCTCTGCACACCCGCGACCATGGGCACCTTACAGGGCCACCTGCTGGCAGGGACATTCTTCCTCATCTTCTCCCTCTACTACTCAGTGATGGTGTCCTTGGCGCTGCTACGGGGACAGAGGTACCTCCGACCCCCTCTGCCCCCGAGGGAGAAGCGAGGACACAGGTGGTGGCAGCTGGTGCCTGTGCAAGGGATAATGAAGGTGCTCATCTCCCTGGGTGGCATCATTCCCGAATTCTTCTACCCCCCAGGAGTGAACCGGCTGATGATAGTAGACTGGGAGGACCCCCGGCGCCCGTTCGTGTTCTACGAGAACTGGGACCACGTCACCATGTACGGCTTCTTCCTGCTTAGCGGCGTGGTGGACATCGTGAGCCGGTCGTGCCAGGCGCGGCAGACCGCGAAGCTGGAGCAGGCGGCGGAGGCCCTGGCCTTCTGCGTGCTGGCGCTGCTGATGGCGGCCCACCTGGAGAACAGGGGCACCCTGGAGATCCGCGTGCACGCGCTCTTCGTGGCGCCCGCCTTCCTGGTTGGCCTGGTGCTCGCCATAGAGGTCTGGGTGCCCGACCAGCCCGCGCTGTGGGTGCTCAAGACCTGGATGGGCCTGGTGCTCAGCAGCTGGATGGTGCAGCTGTCGGTGCTGATGTACGCGCCTCCCTCTGGGCAGCCCTGGAGAGCGGAAAACCCCGAGGACCTGGCCTTCCTCCCCATCTTCTTCTGCTGGCACCTGGCCTTGGGCGCGGCCCTACTGGCCGCCGTCTATGGTCTCTGCAGCCTCTGGCACCATCGCTCCTCCTCTCGGAGAGAGGTCCCAGGCGCCAAGTACCGGCCGTGTCCCAGGGGCTATAGCAACGAAGACCTGGAGAAGCTGGGCACCGAGGGCGTGCTGCAGGATGAGGGCGTCTAGGCATGCAGCGCCTGTCTCCGTGCCCTGCCTTTGGTAAGGAGAGTTTCGAGGGTGCCCACGGTGCATGCAGCACGGAGATGTCTCAGGATCCACGACGTGGCTTTCTGTCACAGGCGTCACCTTCCTTGTTCCTCAATAAACCTTTCAGCTCCTGGGGTTCCTTGGATCTGTTACTCTGTTCTCTCCAGGTCTCCCTCTCTCCTGCCTCACTGTCCAGTAAGGTTCCCGACCAGGGACTTGTGTGGACTCCTGTGATATGAGAACAGTAGGGCTTTACTCTGATGGCTTTTGGGATCCAAGAGAAGGCAATGCAACAAGGAGAGGGAGATGGAGCATCACTGGGGACCCCGGGAGGGTTCTATCAGTTCTATCGCGAGTGTGCAGAGCCAGTTCAGCAGAGCTGGCTTCGTCTGTGCAGCTCAAGTGTTTTAAGGTGTGAAGAGGGGGTTCCTTTAGGCACAAGGGTGAGGACTTCTGTTTTCTTCACTCCTCTCTCTGGTTTATTTACCTTAGGCGCTGAGCAGGATGCAGAACTTGTTTCCTCCTCGCTGTAGTTATTTTACATCTAAATGGAACGAGGCTACTTCTGCCTTCTGTGGGAGCAGAGGGGGTCAGTCAATGTAGCAGGTGCTCAAGTCTGAGAGGAGGCAAAGAGGAAGAGAGTCCCTGAGGTGGGTGGAAGAAGCAAGGATGGTGGAAATTAACTTTCAGTTGCTTGGGTTTTACTGTAATATAAAACTCCATTGTCGCAACTCTTTCACTAAACTCTATGATACCAGTCTATGTGTGTCTTGTGTGAGTGATTCTGGGGCCAGATCAAAGAAAAGGCCCAGATTTCCGTTGGTGGGAGCAGAGGAAGGTGGAGAACTGCTATGAAATGCAGGGTGCCAATAAACTCAGTGCTTCTGAAGATGTAAAAACTTGGAGCGGAGAGAAAGCTGAGAATGTCAGCCCCTGGAACATGCAGAGATTTTCAGCCAGTCATCGAGCTTCTCAACAGAATGAGAGAAGGGGCTAGTAAATGCATATACTCAGTGAAATACGTGAAAGCCAATTATATAAAAATACCTATCCTTGGGTGCAACTAGAAAGCCATTGCTTCTGCTAGCATGAGTCTGCATATGTGAGACGGATAAATCCAGCAATTGGAGATGTGAAGAGGCAGGAGGAAGGGTGGGGGTGCTGGCCACGGATGTAGAGAAAGGACCACAGAGAAAAGCTCTCTGTCTGTCTGTCTGTCTGTCTCTCTCTCTCTCAGCAGCTGCAGTGACACTGCCTCTCATGCAGTTAGAAATGCTGTCCTCAGAGACCAAAAAGCTATCAGAAGCATAGAGAGGTGTTTGCATTTGCAAGATAGAAGACAGGTTGCACTCTGTCATCTGAAATGTCACTGGGCACCCCCCAGTGTGTAGCAGCATGGAAAATCGGCCCTGGAAACCAGGACGAGAGCTTGAGGCAGAGAAGGGAGCGAGGAAAGAGATGAAAGTGGGTCTAGGGCTAGAGTCAGGCAGCTCACACTGTTAGGGCTTGGAGGGGAGGAACACTCTGGATCTAGAGGAAGAGAAATGTGTTTTCCTGCAGCAGCTGGAACCAGGCCAGCCCCAGCTTCCTTCCCAGCAAAGCAAGAACCAGCCTACGGAGAAGCCAGCACCTTTCCTCTGTCCCCACCCTAAAAAGCACAGAAGCAGAGCCAGATTTGCCCTGAAGTGGCTAAAGCTCCAGCTCTAGGCCCTCACTCCACATCTCCAAATGCAAAGCCCTGGGAGGGGCCACAGCAAAGTGCTCATAGGATCACATGTCATGGAAACCTTGCAAAAGCAAGATATTTCTGCATTCTTTTTTCCAAAGAGGGACCTCCTACCGGTATAAGATTTAGGCTCCCCCAAACCTGGCTTTGCCTCTACCCTGAAGGGTTAACACAGTTTTATTTTTAAGATGCCTTATGATAAATACATCCCCTGGCCTGTTGGAGTGGAACATTCCTTATTTGAGGATAATGGTAAGACTCTCTCCTTCAACTTGGAAATAAGAAGCTTAAAACTATTTTTTTTTTAAAGATTTTACTTATTTATTCATGAGAGACACACACAGAGAGAGGCAGAGACATAGGCAGAGGGAGAAGCAGGCTCCATGCAGGGACCCCGATGCAGGACTCCATCTCAGGACCCCAGGATCATGCCCTAAGTCAAAGGCAGGCGCTCAACCACTGAGCCACCCAGGTGCCCCAGAAGGTTAAATTTTTTTTTCTTTAAGATTTTATTTATTTATTCATGAGAAACAGAGAGAGAGAGAGAGAGAGAGAGAGAGAGGCAGAGACACAGGCAGAGGGAGAAGCAGGCTCCATGCATGGAGCCCGACGTGGGACTCGATCCTGGGTCTCCAGGATCATGCCCTGGGCTGAAGACAGCACTAAACCACTGAGCTACCCAGGCTGCCCGGAAGTTTAAAATTCTAATGACATCACCAACTAGCTGAAAACCACCGGCTAAAGTATAATCCATCAGTCAACAAATCCCTCAGTGACCTGTTATCAGATGCTGGGCCTGACTTAATAAAGAGGAATCTGATGTGTGGAGGATTGGTGGCTAGGGGGAAAGGTGGGGAGTGATTTACAGAGGTGTGTCTTGTTTATCTTTGTCTGTGCTATGCAGGGGAGTTTTTGTTCTGCACATCTGGCTTTTGTCCAGGGTATTAGGGTTCTCCAGAGAAACAGAAGCAATAGGATGCAGATAGATAGAAATTTTAAGGAATTGGCTTAGGAGATTGTGAGGGCTAGCAAGTCCAAAATAGGCAGGCCAGCCAGCAGCCCAGAGACCAGGGAAGAGTTTTAATGTTGCCATCTTGAGTCTGAAGGCAGATTTCCTTCCTGCCTGGAGCACCTCCGGCTTGTCTTCTAAGGCCTTCAATTGATTAAATGAGGCCCATCCATGTTATGGAGAGTGCTTACTCAAAATCTACGGATTTAAATGTTAATCACATCTAAAAAGTGCTGGCACAAGGCAATATCTAAACCAGTGTTTGAACAACTGAATGCCAAAGCCTAGCCAAATTATCACATAAAATATCATACACATATCATACTCAGCATAGGGGAACATGGCCACTTAAACATAATTTATGCCAGCTGTGTTTGTCATGACTTTGGAGAACTTCCAAAATAATAACTTTATTATTTTAAAAGAACTTCATCGGGGCACCTGCGTGGCTCAGGCAGTTAAGCACCTAACTCTTGATTTCAGCTCAGGTCATGATCTCAGGGTTGTGAGGTCGAGCCCCATGTCAGGCTCCATGCCCAGCTTAAGATTCTCTCTGGGGCACCTGGGTGGCTCAGTGGTTGAGCATCTGCCTTTGGCTCTGGTTGTGATCCAGGGTCCTGGGATTGAGTCCTGCATGGGGCTCTCCTCCCTGCAGGGAGCCTGCTTCTCCCTCTGCCTCTCTGTGTCTCTCATGAATAAATAAATAAAATCTTAAAAAAAAAAAAAAAAAGATTTTCTCTCTCCCTCTGCCCCTCCCCACGACTTCTGCTCTCTCCCTAAAATAAAAACACAAAAATAGATGGGTGGGGGGATGGGGTAACTGGGTGATGGGCATTAAGGAGGGCACTTGATGTAATGAACACTGGGTATTATATACAACTGATGAATCACTAAACTCTGCCTCTGAAACTAATAATGCATTACTATATGTTAATTGAATATAAATAAATAAATAAATAAATAAATAAATAAATAAATAAACTTCATCATTATAAGTTCTGATTGCAGTGTGACTATGACTATCTAGTGCTATATGGCCTCCTTCCCTTCCTTGTTCCTTCTAGAGAAAGACAGTGATGGGTATACAAGTAAGTGACACTTATTTTTAAAGATTAAAATAATGTTTAGAGAGGATTTTTTTAATTATTCATGTTATACATTTTAGACATCTTACAATATAGCAAAAAGTACTTTAAAGTATTTTGAAATCTATCATACTGCCCCCACCCAGAATTAATTACTGCCTGGGAGAGCTGAAAGAGGAGGAAGTTATTTCAATCAGAGTGGATGATAGGGTTTATATATCAGAGATGAGCTCTTTCTTGGTAATGACGAAGGATGTGCCTGATGACTAAGGTGTGGATGACTAAAGAGACTTGGAGGTGAAGGTCACTGAAGATGAAGAAATCCAGAGCTGGGAGTCTAATGTGGGAAAGAACAGAGCAAGGATCATGAGAGGCCTGGGAAGATGGCAGCCTTGGACTGGTGAACCCCAGAGCCCAGTTCTCAGTGAATCTGGGGATGTGTGCTCTTTGAGGAGAGACCTAAGGCATCAAAGAGAGCAGAAGACAGAAAATGTGGCTAGCATCAGCTTCAAAGGAGGAAGTGACCGGGGTTATGCAGAAATGGTAACACCTACCCCGCAAAGGTATTGTGAGAAATAAATGAGGTGCTGCATATACAACACTCAGTTCAGAGCATGGTGTACAGATGTTCAATTGCTATTAGTTCGAGAGATTGTATGTACAAATGGGCAATGGTCAGACTCTATATGAAAATAAAAATCTGACCTACAGCCTGCAGCAACCAGTCCAGGAAATCAACCCATTTCTACAGTAACTACGCAAGAAGCCAGCCTGTTACCTATAAGTCAGACTGCAGAAAGTCAGTTAGCTATCAGTAGTAACTGGTCCAAGAAGCCAAACAATAACCCCTGGAACAACTGACCCGGAATGGGCAGGATTTGGTTAATAACCAACAGCTTCTCTAATTTTTTCCCTCTTTCCAACTTAGACGAAACAGAGAAAGCTAAATATGCACCCCTAACAAATCACGTAGGATACCCCACTTCTAGCTAGCCCGCCTGTAGCAACAGGCCAACAGCCTCCAATCAGGGAATATCTGAAGCCTCCCCTTCTTGCCACCATGAAGTTTTCCCACTCACTGCCTGGCAAAAAGCAAATGATGATGGCTGACTCCCTTGCTACAGCAAACCAGAGTTTTGAATACATAACCTCTGCTTGG